CCTGTTCTCATTGCCCTGCCTCTACTTCCTACCTGGTCCCTCTGCCTATACTTCCCACCTGGCTACTGGCCAATCAGCATTTTATAAAAATACAATTGACAGGGTACAAACCATTGTCCCACAGCAACACACCAAGGTGAGGAGGCGGGCATTGGCTCACTGGAGCCGCCACCACCCAGAACGCCAGGAGAAAAAAATCTTACAGCCATGTTCAGAACCTTGGATACAAGCTGTTTCCAGTCAGACTATGAGCTGGGCCTTCAGGAAGAGAAGAATGCTTGCCTCAAATAAACAAGCATGGAAAGATTAGATCAAGCCCCAAGGGAAAGTGACAGCTTGAACCCAGAGGGTCCTGCTGGCTGCACAGAGGCTGTGGGGAGGGATGCCTCCCTGCTTTCATCTCTCTCTCTCTCTCTCTCTCTCTCTCTCTCTCTCTCTCTCTCTCTGTCTCATGCACATGCATGAACACACATACACATGAATGTACACACATAGTTGTACACACACATAGGCATGCATGCACAGGCACACACATACACAGTGGCACTTGCGTGTGCATGTGTGTATGCATGTGTGTGCATGAGTACATGCATGTGTGTGTGCATGAGTGCTTGCATGTGTGTGTGCATGAGTGCTTGCATGTGTGTGTGCATGAGTGCTTGCATGATGCATGTGTGTTGGATGAGTGCATGCATGTGTGTGTGCATGAGTGCTTGCATGATGCATGTGTGTTGGATGAGTGCATGCATGTGTGCATGAGTGCTTGCATGATGCATGTGTGTTGGATGAGTGCATGCATGTGTGCGCATGAGTGCTTACATGTGTGTGCATGAGCGCATGCATGTGTGTGCATGAGTGCATGCATGTGTGTGCATGTGTGTGTATGGGCTCCTTTTGACAAACTAAAAGCTGAACATATAAAACAGAGCAAAACAAAACAGGGATGGGAAAGGAAGCTCTTCACACACAAAAACCCCGTGGTCCACTGCAACAGCCTTATTCACTGGGTGTCCTAGTCAGGGTTAGTACTGCTGAGAGGAAACACCATGACCAAAAGAAAGTTGTGGGGAAAAAAGGTTTATTAGGATAATACTTCTAGGTGACAGACCATCTCTGAGGGAAGTCAGGCAGGAACTCAAACAAGGCAGGAACTGATGTTGAGGCCATGGAGGAGCGCTACTTATTGGTGTGTTCCTCATAGCTTGCTCATCCTGCTTTCTTATAGAACTCAGGACCACCAGTCCAAGGATAGCCCTGCCCACAGTGGGCTATGCCCCCACATGCTGATCACTAATTAAGAAAATGCCCTACAGGCTTGCCTGCAGCCAGATACTTATGCGGGTGTTCTCTCAATTGAGGTTCTCTAGTTTCAGATGACTATAGCTTGTGCCAGCCCCCTGAGGAACGGAGACATAGAGATACAGTCCTGGTGGTAAGTCCTCAGCGGTCCTAGCATGTAATAACTGTTTAATAAATCTGTGTTGGCTCAGTGACATACCAAGGGTTCTATTTCCTTCACTCTTTCCTCTGTGTTTTTCTACAAATACTTCTTGAAGAAACCAACCTTGGTTTAAACCTCAGAGAGACTCCTTAGTGGCCAATGTCTTGAATTTATAGCCCTTAAAAGGGTTTTATTTTGTGATCTAAATTTCAAGACTCAAAGCGGGGCAGTGAGAGGACGGTGAGAAGGAGCCATAATTTGCACCCAACACAGCTGTTCTTTGTTGTCCTGAGCTCAAATTAGCTTCCAAGTTCTCATTGACTACAGGTGAGCATCCATTACCATAGTAACAACTGAGCTACTCAGGCCGCCCGCCCTCAGTGTGCCTGCTGCCTGCCTGGTTGAATGCCAGGTCCCAGACACAGGGTCACACTGTATCTAGCATCTCTCCAAAATCATGGCACAAATCTCCAGGGTTCTGCTTCCTCAGGGAAAGAGGAGTTTCTGCCACTGCCATGAAAGGCTGTGTCATTCACCCGGACAAGCATAAGAACATCCCAAGCTCCCTTCTTTAGGTCTGTATTTCAGGGCTTGGCACCCTGCACTCAGAAGAGCTCTGAGCCCGGGTCCATCGACTAACCCCGAGCTTTTGAAATGAACAGATGCCTGCTGTACTTAGAACCAGAAACCGAAGCCAGGGCCCCACACTGGGGAAACACATGGCCTTCTGGAAGCAGAGAGCCAAGGGGCACAGCATAGGCTGCTGGCAGGCTGGAGCTGCATTCGGGTGGGAGATGAGAAGAATGCTGGGTCCAGAGGCATTGTTGGGGCAGTGAGGGTGGAGCCCAGAATGCCAGTGGAAATCCCATGCTATGAGGGTGGACTGAGGAGCAGAGGTTCCAGGGGCCAGGCTTGAATGGCCCAGTGTAACGCAGAGAGGGAACTGTGGCAGGCAAAGTCAATGTTAGACTCAAGTAAGTGGGGGCTCAAGGGTGTTGGGGCTCTCACCCTGCTTATCTGAGCTGCCCAGGTTGTGGAGATTGAGGCCTGGGAGAACTCTGGCAGCCATGGAGCCATTACTAAATTCAGACTCATACCTGGCAATCTCTTCTTCCCCAGCAAGACCGTGAAGGAGTGCTACCAGGACCAGCCACTCCCAATGCCCCCCCCCAGCCCTATGCCCCCAGGAGCCAAGAGGGGAGTTCTTTTTGAACAGTTACTGCATGCTAGGACAACCAAGGACTGCAAGAGCTGAAGATGAGTTCATGCACTAGGGACGCATACTGGTTCCCCTGCTAGTGGCCCCACAAACTGCCCAAGCCACACAGCGGTCACTCACTGGTATTTTGGACCTTATTCCCTATGGAGGGATACCTTGCTCAGCCTAGATACAGTGGGGACGGCCTTGGTCCTGAGTGATTGACTTTCTTGACTCCCTGTGGGAGGCCTCACCCTCTCTGAGGAGTGGATGGGGAGGTGGGGTGGGGGAAAGGCGTGGTGGGGGGAGGCAGGACAGAAGAAGGGAAGGGAGAAGGAACTAGGATTGGTATGTATGTAAAATACGATTGTTTTAAAAGAAATCAAATTAAATAAAAATTTCAAAAAGAGTTGAAAAGGAAGCCACAGCGGAAGCCAAGACTCAGAGGCTGCTCTTCCTCAAGGGGACACTCCCACCAGAAGCCTTTTCTTTGAGGGCGCCTGGAGTTGCCAAAAGACAGCAAAAGGCGAACACGCCACCTGCTGGCTCTGGAGCGCAAGGTCGGAGCGGTCTGGTTCGCCACCTGGTGGCCATTTGAGGACTCGCATTCTGCTCCTAGTCTGGCAAGAAGATTCCCCAGTAACTCCCACCTTAGCAACCGGGAAAGCAGCCTTGGTCAAGCCAGCTCTGCAGCCTCCGGGGACTCCAGGGACTGAAAGGGAGGGAGGGTGAGGGAGGGAGGAAGGAAGGAAGGGAGGAAGGGAGGAAGGGAGGAAGGGAGGAAGGGAGGAAGGAAGGGGTAATTGAGAAGTTTGTACCACCTCTCATGAAGTTACTTCTGTTCCGAGTTTCCCTTTGGTTCATCTTTTCATGTCCTGATCCAGGTAAGTAGCCAGTGTCCCATGGATATCTATAGAACTTCTAGGCACCCTCCATCCCCATCATGTGCCCTTGGCCGGGGGCAGTCTTCAGTGAATTTGGATGTGAGGTGCTTTGCCACATCTCACTACACTAATGAAGCTTGGGACACATCAGACCACAACCCCCCAAGTGCTGGTCTGGGATTTCACCCCGGTGTTTCCCGTGTTTCCCCTGGTTCTGCTCATGCATGGTCAATTCCATGGCCTGAGGTAGATCTTCACGGACTAGAGGAGTTAAGGATTTAATCTTTGTGGAGAGAAGGGGAAAGACCAGAGAGACCCTAACCCTCCTGAGATGCAGCTAGAATCTAAGACAGAACAGTGAGCCCTTCAAGCCCAGTGCCTTGGTTCCCTGTAGCACCAGGCACCATTGCAGGACTTGGAGATGCAGTCTTAGTGCCTTTCCATCAACCTTCACATAAGAAAACTAGGACTTGTGCCTCTCCCAATCTCCCAGCCAGTCCTGTGCCACCTGCATTGTCCTCTTCTTGGTCCTCAGAAACTGCTTAGAGACAGAAGTGAGTTGGGATACGGAGGGGACCCCCAGAGAGGCTGATGGAGGGATGGGTGACAAGAAAGGGATACTGTGGAGGCATTTCAGGACGTGCTAGTGATCACTAGCCTACGGGGAAGAGGGGGGAAGGCATACAGCAGAGTCCAGGGCTCTGGTGCCAGCTGTCCACCCCACTGTCCATGGATGAAGGACACTCCCTCTGACATTTCTAGACATGCACACACCATACTGGCCAAAGACAGACTGTAAAGGAAGTAACTCGCCAGGACGTGTGGGTGGGGCACCTACTCCAGGTCAGCCCCTCCAGGGCAGCTCTGGAGTGTCTCCACCAGTGGGTGACAATCCATCCACTCCTGCAGGGGGCGACACTGTCACCAGGCAGTTCTCTCAGGTGGCGTCACCCACAAGTTAAGGGGTGAGACAAGTGTTCTGCTAGATCTGGCCATGAAGACTTCTCTCAGGTGACCGCTCCACAGTCAGGTGATGTCAGCAAACCAGGCTGGGCAGGCTCTAGTGCATCCGTGCACTCATTTGGGGAAGCAGGGTACTCGGATACACTTTGGCTGTTCAGAGGAGGCTGGCGCCAATTGGGAAGATTTTAACTTCCTGTGAAGTACAAATGCCAAGAACAGAGGTCTATTTACTTTTTTCTTCCTGTCACAAGAAAGAGGTGACATCATCAGGTTGTTTGGCACCTTTCTAAGGTGCAGACAGGGAAAATGGAGAGGACCTCCACTCCTGTGTACCAGTGTCCTATGTACCGGCTTCTGAAGGATCTCAACATTGAACTCAGCCCTCATACAGGCTTTGTTTCCTAAGCCCCGGGACGTCAGATGGCAGGTTATGGTGTTTTAACTGTAGCGTACCACAAACAAGGTGGGGGAACCTGCAGGGCCTGTGTCTGTCGCTTCAGAGCTACCCGCATCCTCACTTTTGCAAAAAGTGAAAATTCCCTTTTGCAAAAAACAGCATGAGCGTTTTGTAGGCACGTAGGAGCCTGTTCTGCATTAATTTGAAGGCGATGAACACGATCTCCATGCCGACGATGATATAAATGGAGAAGAAGAGGAAGAAGTGGGGGTGACTGAGCTTGATGTCCCCGAACCCAATGGTGGTCAGTGTGACGAAGCAGAAGTAGAAAGCGTCCTCGAATCCCAGCTCTGTCTCCCAGAAGGGGAGGACGGCAGCTGCACAGGAGATGTAGGCGAAGATGACCAGGGCGATAACGGGGAGAGGGATGTCCAGCCTCTCCACCTGCTGGCCTACTTCATCCAGGTTGCTAAGGATAGAACAGGACAGTCGCCCCAGTGCCAGCTCAGGGCATGAACTGCTCCTCTCTACGGGCTGCTTGGGTAGTTGTAGCTTGTCCTGATTGTCTCGGACGACCAGTCTCTCAAACAGCTCCACATTGCAGCTTGGAGATGCAGGCTCCCCGTATGGCTGGGGGTCTAGGAACTCGCCCGCACCAGCACTGACGACAATCTGAGGGATGGTTTCCTCCGTGGGTTTGCTGTCCTGCTGCCTCCTGCAGAACAGGCTGGAGCACCATTGAGAGGGAGCATGGGGGAGGCAAAGGAGAGCCTGGAACCGACTGTAAGCCCTGGATAAGACGGTGGCTAGGATGTCTCCGATGTCTGTGAGGACCAGGAACATCAAAGGGATTCCGAAGAGAGCATAGAGCATGCACAGGAACTTGCCGAGCCTGGTGATGGGGTACATGTCTCCATAACCTGAGAAACAAGACAGAGCCTGGTGTTGATACCAGTCTCCCAGCATCCCCCAGGGGCTCAAAAGAGACCTGCTGTTTCTCCTCCTGGACGTGAAACTTTACACGGTAAGAATATTCATCCTGGACTGGGTGCAGAACTCGGGGAAAGCTTTGCTTAGTGGGCATAAGGCTTCAACCGCCAGTGCCAAAAACAAACATAAATGAATAAATAAATATTCATCTCAAAGCATCTGCGTGTGTGTCTGGCATGTATCTTGATCAAGGGACAGGGCAAGAAGAGAGACAACTCTTATCCTGACTGAAAATATCTGTGGCAGGGGACGTACTGGGGATGGCACAATCGCCCTTCATTTTGTTAGTGATGGTTATTTCGTTGTGCCCCATGTGCACCCTCGAGGCAGGGCTCACTCGCCTGGAGGGGCACTGGTGGGAGGCGGTCATTTCCACTTCATCTTGCCTAAGGTGCTGGCTTCCACGAAGCCACCTTTGTCCTTTCCAAGGGTCCTGGACCTCTTGGTGCATTTGTTTTTATATAAGACATTTATTTTATGCCTCTGGTGTGGACGGTAGTGGGCATTGTATCAGGGACCATAGAAAGGAGATAAAGTTACCACCGAGTCGCCAAGCTGCGAAGTTTCAGGGGAGAGAGCTACGTGTGTTTGTAAGTGGCGGTGAGGATGCTCTCCGCAGGCAGCACTCACAGTGACCTCAGTGCGCAGCCCGGCTCTGAACTTAGCAGGCCCCTACTTGGCCACTACTCACATCTTTGCACTTCAGGTTAGAGGGGGCTGGTTGGTCATGCTCCTAAGTGACTAGCTGGGCAGATCCTGCCAGGCTGGGACCCGGGACCCCATAGGCTAGTAAACATGATGCCCGAGAGCTAACATCCTCTTGCTGAACGCCTTCCTGGAGAGGTGTTCTCGTAATTTACAAATGGGGAAACTGAGGCAAGGGGCGATGAAGGAGCTTGGCCCAGCCCGTACATGTAATAAGTAGTGGAAGCTGGGAATCTAGCTCACAAGGTTCCTCAGACCTCAGCACTGCTTGTCGACTTGGGACAGGACTCTCAACTAGTAAGAATGGGTTGACCAGTGCCCATCAGGGCCTGCTTTTCTGTGGCTTCCATGCTGCCCTCCCTTCCCAGGAGCTGGGCCAGCGGCCCCTCAGCGTGGACCACTGCAGCTTTCAGAGCTGTTGACAAGCTGAGGGAAAAGCTTTGCTGGGTATGTTTGTATTTAATCTTTGACTAATATAGAAAAATGCATCAATTATGTAAATTAAATTGAAAGCGAGTCTTAGCAAGCTGAGAGCACCGGTCTCCTCTCGGCTTAAGGCCCCCTGCTGGAAACTTGGCCTCCCAAGGCAGACAGACTGTGGGATGGCCATCTCACCAGGATCCTAGGGACCCCCCTGAGTTCTCATCAGACCCCTTTCATCTGTTGAGTGCTGCACACCCCACCGGCTGGGGCCAACCACGTGGCAGCAGGGTTAGTTAGCTCCGTGGATGCGTTCCTTCAGGGAGTAGTTACTGCGTGCTTAGGGAACCCACGAAGGACACACGTGCAACACAAGCTCTCTGAGTTTCTAGAGCAGGGGAAGCAGATGTCAATCAAATACCCACCAAAAGGACTATTAATATTTGAGATGAGGTGCCATCACAGGAAGGGAGAGAACAAATTATTATAAACAATTATTATAAACAATAGAAACGAAAATTATTACAAATGTGGTTAAAACAAAGGCTTCCTTCCATTCAGGATTTAGGCTCAGGAAAGATTTCTTGGTTAGGTGACTTGAATGCAGGCTGTCACAGGGGCTGTTCTCATTTACTCTTGCTGCTGTGATACAAGACGGACCAAAACCTACTCGGGGAGGAAAGGGTTTGTGTGGCTTATAGGTTACAGTTCATCGTTGAGGGAAGCCAGAGCAGGAACTCGAGGCAGGGACCTAGAGGCAGAAACTGGAGCAGACATCATAGTGGATCCCTGCTTATAGCTTGTTCCCCTGCTCTTGTTCAACTGTTTCTCACACGGGCCAGGCCCGGCTACCCAAGGACGGTACTGCCCATAGTGGGCCTCCTACATCAATATAGTTTACAATTAATCATCAAGAAGATGTCCCCTAAACATGCCCTGAGTCAAGTTAAGGGAATCCCTTAACTGAGGCACCTTTTCCCAGGTGTGCAAGTTGACAGTCAAGATGAGCTAACTCAGGGGCCAGAGCGTGGCCAGGCGAAGCAGCAGCATTGGTGTGGGCAATGCTCCTGTAGCCGATTCATACAGCCAAGTAGTTTGTGCACCGCACATGAGCCAAGGGTGTGGCAGGGAGCTGGAATCCAGCCTGCCATGCACGCACCAAGCTCCTGGCTCGGGACTCTATGTCTCCCTAGAGAGGATTTTAAATTTTAACCAAAGTGTATCCAGAGTAAAGCTGTCACTATATACGAAGAGTCAAGGAAGGCCAGTGTGATGGTTGAATAAGAATAATGCCCACCCTCCCCAAGGCTGGAGAGATGGCTCAAAGGTTAAGAGTGCTGCCTACTCTTCCAGAGGTCCTGAGTTCAATTCCCAGCACCCACATGCTTGTTCCCAGTCATCTGCAATGAGATCTGGTGCCCTCTTCTGGCTTTTAGGCATACATGCAGACAGAATACTGTATATAAAATAAATAAATTTTTAAAAAGAAATAAAAAATAGCCCCATAGGCTTATCTATTTGAATGCCTAGGCACCAGGGACTGGAACTCTTTGATAGGATTAGAAGGATTGGGAGATGTGGCTTTGTTGGAGGAAGTGTGTCACTAGGGGTGGACTTTGATGTTTCAAACGCCCCTGTCAAGCCCAGGCTTTCTCTCCCTGCTGCTTGAGGATCAGGATGTAGAACTCTCAGCTACTTCTCCAGTACCATGTCTGCCTGCCTCCACGCTCTCTTCCATGACGATAATGGACTACACCTCTGAACTGTAAGCCAACCCCAATTAAATGCTGTCTTTTTTGAAGAGTTGCCTTGGTCACAGTGTCTCTGCAGCAATAGAACAGTAATTGAGACAGCCAGTGTGGCCAGTGGGCATGGATAGGGGAGGGCAGTGAGGTGAGGCTGGGGAGGTGAGGGATCTAAGGGCTCAAAGAAACGAGTACCTAGGGGTGTAAGAAAGGTACTGAGACAGGAAGACAGGGCTGGCTTGTCCGAACCCTCACTGAAAAGGTGGAATTCTGGCAGAGAGCCCACTAGGAGGTGTTTGGCAGAATTCAGGAACCCAGAGGAGAGGAAATGCCATGGAGGAAACTGGACACCTCACTCTGATTCACGAGCTCCGTGGCCTGGTCTAAGGGACTTGATCATTTGCTGCCTCGATTTCATTGGGTACAAAAGCAAAGGGCCTGAAATCACACCTCAAATCTCAGCTGCTTGGGAGGCTGAGGCAGGAGGTTAGAAAGTTCAAAGCTGCCTCTGAGCTTGGTGCACCAGCCAAGAGTCCTATCCCAAGTTTTATGTGGGCCCCAGACTCATAGCCCTTAGGGATGTCACAGGCCATGAGCAAGTCCCCCACACATGAAACACCTCATTTTCCAGATAAGGTACAAGCCCCCTGTTCTCAGGAGTTTCCGGAAGCTCACAGCTGACTCCTTAGAAGCAACTGCCTCCTCAACCCAGGCCTCCAGGGTCAGGGCCTAGAGTTAAATTTATTTCGATTTAAAAGATCAGATCAAATATTGCTTGTGCAATCAGTAAAGTGCTTTTTAGAATTAAAATCCCCTGCCCAGCAGACTTACGGCTATCTCCATTACCGCCCACATTTAATGTACAGTAGACGGATAAGGCTGTGACCTGTTGAGGTGACTGACACAGCTATGTCCCTCGAGAGCCGGCACCTTTTACTCCAAGAGCTTGCCCATCGATATGTCCAACCCAAGGTGGGCTTCCGGAGACCCTCCGAGTGAGATGTGTTACGGTCCAGAAGATCCGCTACATTCCAGAAAAGATCCCTGGGAAGCAGGTCTCAGAGGGCACACAGCCCCAACAGAGAGAATGAACTAACTCTCCCAATTACCGAATGCTGAAATGCAGAATGGAAAACTATCACTTCCTATAATGCATCCCTTATTCCGATACAATCACTCCACAGCACTTAGCCTGCCAAGGATTTAATAGCCCCTGCACTTCCCTTCCTGATGCCAGGAGCTGAGCCAGGTGAGAACTGAACGGCCTCAGACACAGGTATCACTTTCTTAGCCTCGGGGCCAGGTGTCTTCTGGGTGAGCTGGACAGGCAGGGCTGAAGCAGGGGTGCAGAGGAACCCCCAGCAACGGTCACCCCACCATCCTCCTTCAGGGCACTTCTAGCCACAGGCTTCTCTACTAGACTCATACAAAGGGTAGCGGTTTGGGTTTTCCTGAGATTTGAACCAAGCCAATGCATTTCAACTGCATCGGTGATGGGAGGCCTGGAGGGCTCCTACAGAAACCTGGGCCTGGATTCTGATAGGTCTGGGGCAGGACCCACAGGGGTTCGTGTAAGATAGGGAGATTATGCAGAGCAGCTAGGCTGAGAGTTTGCGTGGGAAATGTCTCCACTGCTTATCAAGGGGGCAGGGATGAGGCTTAGTTGGTTAGGGTACTTGTCTAGCACATACAATGGCTCAGTCCTCACACCACATGGCCACAGTGGCACTGCTCTTAGTCATAGAACTTGGGAGGTGGAGGTGAGACTATTGGAAGTTCAAGGTTTGTCAAGGGGAGTTCTAGACTGGATAAAGCCAGTGGTTCTCAACTTGCGGACCCCTTTTGGGGGTTGAATGACCCTTTCACACTGGTTGCCAAAGTCACAGATAACATAGATGTTTACATTATGATTCACAACAATAGCAAAATTACAGTTACGAAGTAGCAACAAAAATAATTTTATGGTCAGGATCACCATAATCTGAAGAGCTGTGTTAAAGGATCGAGCGTTAGGCAGGTTGGGAGTCACCGGGTGAAGGCAAATTGCAGACCATACTTGATAGAACTGAGCGTGAATTTGCATTCCTCACAAGCTCTTGCCAGGCTAACTTGAACCTGCCCTCATTCCTAAAGTCCTCTCAACTGGCCTAGGACATAAGAGTCCAAGTCTCCCTATGGCCCCTGGAGCCTAGAAGGGCTCCCAAGACTGTTCTCCCAGAGTCTTAAGGTCCTACAGGGGATACTAAGGCTGGCGTTTTACAGGGATCATTTTTCTTGCCTGGAAGCCTCCTCTCTCTGATCTGTCAGACTTCAGCTCACAGGTCACGTTCACAAGGAAGCCCTTACCCCTCTCAGGACAAGTCAGGGCCCATCCCATGTGTCTCACCTGCCCCTGTCTCAGATGTTCCTCTTGCATGGTTTTTAGCATGGGTGCTTATTGGTCCCTCTCTTTCCTCTCTGTCCCTCAGATAAGAGGCTTCCCTGGGGAGGAGCACCCAACCTGTTCCCATGTGTTAGGAACACGAGTGGTTTACAGAGAGAGGCAGTAGAGAGGGCTCAAGCGTACATGACTGAGTCTCGGGTTCTCCATCTGGATATGGGATGACAACTGAACCTGTCTGGTCTGGGCACAGAGGAACAATATATATGAGGTTAGGGCTGGAGGCAGTGTTCAGTCGTGGAGTACTTGCTACACACACACACACACACACACACACACACACACACACACACCACAGAAACTAGGGCATCTTAATTGCAGCTATGCATATATGGGGCAGTGGGAAGAAACAGGCACAGCAGCGGAAAGACCAGGTCCCCATTCCCGGTTCCTGTGCCCTCCATCATTCAGGATGCTGGCCTTTGTGTGGCCTCTGAGAAGAGCAAGCATGGCTTTGAGGGTTCTCAGAACCCATCTTTAGATGAGAGGCTGATCATGGTGCAGAGACAGTCCTCACCCTTCCCGGGTTCTAGAGGAGCCCCCTCTGGGTGACTGCTGCACTTTCCTCAGCCTGGAGATTGGGACCATGAACTAGCCAAGCACAAGGACAAGACACAGCCAGCTCTGTCCGCTCTGGGAGTTCTGCCCTCCTCAGGGCCACTGTGTACTCCAGGCTCCCATAGGGCGGCTCAGGGATCGTAGTTATCCTGCAGACCTCACAGGACCACAAGGTCAGGGTCGCACCTCTGAAGGAACGTTACTAGACCAAGTCTCAAAGTCCGTTCGTGGGCACCAATTCCACTCACTGGATGACCTTGGCCTCTGACCTCTGACCTTACCTCTCTGGGCTCAGAATGTGGGGCTCATATGGCCCCATTCCCTGGGCCTGCCTGAGCATTGGAGAGCAGCTGGACATGGCTGGGTTGTGTAATATTGTTTGTGGCCGTGGAGAGCACAATGCAGTGTTCAGATCCTGGTGCTGGGGCTCTTGGCTTCCCTCCATTTCTACACCACAGCCATTTCTCTTCTGTAGCTCTGGTCACTCCTGGCAAGTCTCCTGCCACCTAGACGCCATGAGCCTAAAGCCCATTCCCCTCCAGTCCCAGCCCTCACAGCAGCCAGCTCCAAGTCCACCTTTTCAGCAGACCTGGGCATCTCCTTCTGGAGGCACCATTGGGAGTCACTTCCATCAGCCAGGCATCCAGGTCTCCCTCTCTAGACCCATCCTCCCCTCTCCTTGGCTTGCCCATCCTGTCCATCAAAGCCAAAATCCCCAGTGCCAGCGGGGAGTTCTTCACCCCCACCCTGATCATCCTTCAGGCTGCCTTTCCTGCCCCCCTCCCATCTCATAGCCGCTGTTCTGACTTGGGTGGTTGCCCACCTGGACTCCTGAAGGAGCCTCTGGGGAGCCACTTTCTGTCCTTGTCTCAGGGAGACTGAGTCACCAATTTCTTCCCTGCCAGGAGTCGGTTGAACAAGGCCCTCCCTGTCCTAAGGGCATGATCTGGCCTCAATCTCTCTCTTCTTCATCCCTTACAGTCCCAGGCATTTGTGCTGTTCTCTGGCCTTCGATTGGCTCTGTGGGGTCTGGAACGCCCTTGTTATTCCCACCTACCCCCACCTCTCTGCCCTCCTACCCGCAGGCCTTTAGAATATTCTCACTGTTGGGTGCACCAGTTCAAGGCTGATCCAGCCACCTTCCTTCTCTACTTTCAGGAACCACGGTCGTTGTCCCGCACAGACCCCTTCTTCACCTGTGAGCATGCCTAAGCTGCCCGGAAACCTATAGGCTGGAGCCGTGTCTGCCCTGTTTCCAGATAGCACAGGCGTGCATGGTGGGCCAACCGCTTTACTCAGGAGCACTCAGTCAAGGGTCCAAGAAGGACCACAGCATGGCCTGTGCCTTGCTCATCTGGGCCCATGCCCAGGAACGGGGCTACAACCACCCATGCTGTCTTTTGAGTTGTCTTCCACCCCTGGGGCCTATGGACCAGTAAGGGCTCCCCTTCCTGCTGCACCCCTGTACTAGAAACAGCTCCCATCTCCCAAGGTAGGCACGCCACCACTCCTCCCTGTATTAGATAAAAGGAATGTCTCAGCACACCTGCCAGCAGGTACCCGTGTCCTTCCCAGGCAAGCAGTTGTTGTTAGCCGCAGGGCAAGCACTTACCCACTGTGCTGAACACCGTGCAGCAGAAAAAGAGAGCGCTCAGGAAGGACCAGTCCTCGGGCGCCTTGAACCACTGGGGCTTCATCCGCTGCAGATGCTCACACAGGTCCTTCCTGTTGCCGTCCACCACTGGGAAGAGACCAGAGTGATAAAAGGGGGTCTGCCTGCCAGACAGTCCTGCCCAGTGAGAGCTCAAGGGCCAGCACCACCCCACCCCATTGTCCCAACAATGCCCAGCCATCAAAGCCCTCCTTAAAAATGCTTCCCCTGCGTATGGAGTCGAAGAGACTGGATAGTCCCAGCGGGGGCCTGGGTGTGACGTGAGCTCAGCAGCCTTAGAGGGTTCCTTCCTTCTTCCATGGACTCAAACTGACTTTTTTTTTTCCTTTGAGAGAGGGCCCAGGCTGACCTCCAATGCTATAATCAACAAAGATAACCTTGAATTTCTGGTCATCCTAACTCCAACTCCCAAGAGTCAGGATTACAGACATGGTTCCTCACGGCTGGTTTATGTGGTGCTGAGGATCGAATCCAGGGCTTTATGCATGCTAGCCAAATACCACTGACTGAGCTACAGCCTTTGAAGACTTCTTAACATTTGAATCATTTCTTCCATGTTCCATTTTGTTTGTTTTGTTGTTGTTTGGGTCTTTGGGGTTTTGTTGCTGTTGTTATTTTTTGAGATAAGGTCTTGCAACGTACCCTTGGTTGGCCGAGAACTTGCTACATAGGACAGGCTATCCTCAGATGGTACCAGTCCTCCCATCACATTATAGTCACGCAGCACCATGCCCAGCCTTCTTTATTAGTTTTAAAGAGGAATAAAAGCCTCTGCCATCTCCATCCTGGAACTCCAAACTAGAAGGGCTTTCGGCAAACCAGGCTGTGGTGAGAAACCTGCAAGACACTGAGCCTATAGGCTTGGTGAGCACCCTGAGCTCCCGGCTTCAGGCTGAGGCTGTCTCTTGGGATGGGAAGCCTTGGTCCCTGGGCTAAGAGGATGGCACAGAGTCTGGCCACAGGGAAAGTCACCACCCACTTGAATTAAATGGCCCCAGTCTGAGAATCCAGACTCTGGGTGCTAGCCTCTCCCTGACTACTTCTTATATGTCTAGACAAAAGGCTACTTTCTGAGTCTCAGTTTTCCCCATTTGCAAATCAGTTCAGCCTGGTGGTTAGAATCTCAGACTCATGGGTCGCCTGAATGGAATTTCTATCTTGTTTTCCTTGTACGTGAACTTTGAAAATTACGTAACTTTCCAGGGCAAGAGAAGATAGGAGATTAAAGATATAATCAACAGAACATGAGAAAAATAAAAGAGAATTAAAGATAAATAAAAAATTAGGCTCCAACAACCGGGAGGGGGAGAAGAGGGCTTGAGAGCCTGCCCCGTTCTGCATGTGGCCCCGTATGGCCTCTGCATGCTGCTGCTCCCAGGTGGGGACATGGTTTGCGAACAAGTCTTGATAGCTGGGGCTGACTGGAAGTTGGCCCAGGAAGTCAGAGTCCTGCTTGGTGGAGGATGTTTGCATCTTTGTCTTAGAGACATTTCTACTCAGTGGCCAGGCAGATGCTGAGGTGCTATTGGCATAATTGGGGCTGTCATAAGACCCCCATTTGTAGCAACTTCAGGGTCCCTGACCCAGCCCACACCTCAGATTCACCCAGGAAATCTATCTAAAGTCTACATTTCCAAGCTTCCTCCCACATCCACACAATTGGAATCTCAAAGCTGGGCTGGAGGGATTTGTAAAGGGGTCCTGGACATGGAGTGGAGTGTGCTACAAAGTCTTGGTCTAATGCCACAATGCATTTTCTTGCTTAATCCTGCCCAGGCCCCCTTATCTTATCCCTATTTTTATAAACTAGAAACTGAGTCCCTGGCATCCAGACTCACTCTGGCCAAACCAAGGGATGTAACAGAAATGATACCTGTTGAGCATCTTCTGCCTTGCAGAGGACTCATGCCTCTCATCTCTGCCTTCCCAGGGGTCCTCACTATTGGCAGATCTCAGATAGGGGTCCCCTTCTCTTCAGGAGACTAACAAGGGAGGACCCTGCTGCTGCTGTAGATCTCATAAACTAAGCTAAAACAACAACCTGGCCTTTGTCACCCCAGCCTTGGACCCCACCCCCACAAGCCCACTACAAACAGACTCTGAAATAGGAATCAGCTTGTTCATTTCCGGGATGCATGCCCGGGTAGGATGGTTCCCTGAAGTCTCAAAGTTGAAGCCTGCACCACTCATCCTGCCCATCCCGCAAAATCTCCAGTGACCCATCCTCCCCTATGCCCTGGGGGCTGGGTGGGGCTGGTGGGAGCCTGAGGCACAGGGAAGGGGAAGCTGGACCCTAAGAGCACCTGCTTAAAGCTTACTTTCCCCATTGCACCCCTGTTCATTTCCCAGCTGCCCAGAGAAAAGTGACCCCACCCCCAAGCCCACTACAAACAGACTTTGAAATAGGAACCAACTGGGAGGAGGTTAGAGGTGAGCTGCTCACAGCCTCCTGCCAGGGTAGCTGCGAGACTGGAACCTCTCAGGCACCTACCTGTCCTGTTACATTTCAGGATGCTGCACAGCTTGTCCAGGAACTTCTTCAACTCAGGGTTCTCCTCTGCCTCTGGGTCAGAGCGGCCCTCGACTGCAGAGAAGAGAGCGGCACCCACCAGTGCATAGGTCACCAGGCAGCAGAGGAAACAGAAGCCAGGCAGAAGCTTGCCCAGGGCCTCGGGACAGCATCTCCTGGCTTTCCCCAGCACCTCACGGCAGCATCCCCTGGCCTCAGGTGGCTCCTCAGCTTCCATCCTCTTGGACCAGCTCAGGGAAGGACAGGAGGCCTTTGTGGAGAAGCCGGAGGCAACCAGCCTGGGCCTAGAGGAAGAGGGTGGGAGTGGCCGGAGAATGGCCAGGCTCCAGCCCTAAGTGGATAGTGCATGAGTTTCCCAGAGGACCCTGGAAGCAGCCGGAACCCATCATGTTCGGCTCATCCAGATAACTGGGATGGCGCCCCTGCTAGCGCCCCAAATTGCTATTGATCCACCTGACCAGCGCCAGAGCTGCTGGAGGTGGCTTTGGAGGACCTCGTGGTGATTGTTTTGTTCTGCCTTTTCCCATTCTGAAACTGCGGCCCTGGCTTCCAGGTACCAAGTCTGATATTCAGGTCTTAGTCAAATGCCTGTCTTTTCTGATGCTGTTCAGACACCTCTTGCCCTGGCGTGCCTGGGATATTGGACAACAGGAATAAGAATGAAAGTAGCTGTAGCCCCTTTGTTTCCAAAATGCTGGAACCCGTGTGGTTCTCTTACTAGCCTGGAACTTGCCAAATAGCCCAAGCTGGCTGGTCTGGAAACCCCGGAGATTCACCTGTCTCTGCCTCCTCAGCGCTGGGATTCTAAGTAGGCACTGCTATATCTGGACTTTTTTTTTTATGATAAATCTGGTCTTGAATTCAAATCCTCATGTTTGCAAGGCTAGCACTTTACCAACTAAGTCATCTACCTAACCTAAACTTCCTACTTACTGAGGTTTTTCCTCCCCTAGAGGAGTTTTGTTAACAAAAGTGCCGGTAAAACAACACTAAGTTCCCGGGTTGCGGAGACCAATGCAGTGCCTCGCTCTGCGCTGACGCAGTGTGGACAGAAGTCAGCAGCGCTACCACAGTCAAAGCTGAATCCTTCCACACCAGGGTTCGGGGTGTTACTGGTTGACTCTAATTGCCCTCTCCAATTCTCTGTTAGGGAACTCTGCGGGGCCATTGCTGGCTGGAAGACAGACCGTCTGTGATTACCCACGTGAGACCTCTACAATGCTCCTCCCATTTCTGAGACTAGGTCAGCCGCTGGGACAGGGTCTCTTCTTGGATAATGTAACTGCTCTTGAGCTGGTCATGCACCTGTGAGTATCTCCAAGAGACTAGTGTTTACCAAGCGGGACTTGGTAAGTTCCTGCCCTCTCTATCTGGGGTGAGTGGAAAGAGACTCCCTCATGGCCCAGCATGTAAGGGTGCCTGCCACCAAGCTTGCTAACCTGAGTTCAGTCCCAAACCCACACAGTGAAATGAGAGAGCTGACTTCTCAAGCTGCCTTCTGACTTCCACGTGTTCTGTGGTATATCCTTGTGTGCGTGCACGTGCGTGCGCGTACACACACACACACACACACACACACACACACACACACAGTGAATAAATCTAAAACATTTTAAAGAAATAGACTCCTGGGGGTGGGGGGAGATGACGGCTCAGCAGTTAAGATCACCTGGGGTCAGTTCCTTGCACCCACCTGGTGGGCGCAAAGCCGTCTGTCTTCTGGACTCGGCCGGAACTGCATGTACACGGTGTACAGACTCACGTGCAGGCAAAACACCCACATACACAAAATAATAACAAGAATTGTGAAAAGGAAGCATTCTTCAGAGCTCACTAATTCTCAGTAAAGTGATCAGCCACCGTCATGTACGGCTGGGAAGACCTGACCCAGCCCTCTTCCTTCTGCCAGTCGTGGGTGCTGCCCGCAGGCTAGGCCCTCACCAGACAGACTCCTTCATCTTGCTCCAGAGTTATGAGAAATTAATTTCTGTCCTCATAAAGCACCCAGTGTGTGTGTGGCTTTGGATTAGTAACACGAATGAACTAAGGGAGGAGAAATAGCATAGCTCTACTGAGATCTCTGACCACCATATTCTTCTCTAATCTCTCCTCCAGCTCCTTGCCCTCTCCTCTCCTCCCCCTCCTCCTTACTCCCCCCTCCTCATATAGACATTCGGTGGCCAAGCTGCTCAGGAACAAATAACCCACCGATTCTTTTAAAAATAATGAGAAGCCAATTACACGCCCACGTTAAACGTGGCATGGATTCCGGAAGATCAAATTGCTGTGTTACAATCAAGTTGTGCCGCCAACTTCATATTTGTATCCTACAGCTTTCGCCACTGCAGGGGAGTGTGTGGGAACTGAAGGAAGAAAGGTCTTCGTATAAAAGACTTGGTGGGATGAGGGTGGAGGTGAAAGCTGGACCTCCAAGGCTTGCTTGTTGGACCCCACCTAACCACGTGGGCAGAGAACCACTTCTTGTTTCAATTTCTGCTTATGGACTTTTGACTCTGCCCTGGGGAGAGGCCATGTGGCCAGTCACAGGATTAGCAAGGTACAAGGACAGTTCTTCCAGAAAAGACAGACGCGCAAGGAGGTGCAACCCAAGTGGCAGAAAGCTTCCCTAACATGAGTCAAGTCTCTTTCCCAGCCTTGTGTCCTGGCCCATGCTCATAATCCCAGCACCTGTGAAGTGGGTGAAAGAATATGGGTGTAACAATCCCTAGTTACCTAGTGAGTTTGCACCCAGCCGAGACTACAGGGGACCCTGTCTCAAGTTGAGACAAGTAAATAAATAAATAAAAATTAAAAGACAGACATGCCACCTTCCAGAAAGGAAGATCAAGGCAGTAATTGACAGCCTTTGCATACAAATACCAGTTCTTCATCTACACCCCTATGCTAGGTGGGAGAAGTAGACCAAAAATAAACACACCGATGAGGTGCTTAGGGGACAATGCAGGGCACAGCTGAGGTTTGGCTATGAAATGTCCCCCATGGGACGTGTGTTTGAGCACATGGTCACTGGCTTGTGGTGTGGTTTGGAAAGGTTGTGGGACCGTTAGGAGGTGCAGCCTTGCAGGAGGAAGCCTTTTACTTGAGGCAGCCTTTGAGAACACTTCCTGTTCTGTTTCTGCTTCCTGAGTGTGGATGCCACGTGATCAGCCAGCTTCCGACTCCCGTGGCCTTGCCTTCTCTGCCTTGAGGGGCGACAAACTCCACCAGTCTGGAACTGGGAGCCAGAACAAAACTTTTCTCCATTGTGCTGTTCTCATCAAGGTCTTTCACTACAACAACAGAAATACAAAAGAGACGAACAGGCGCACACAGATCTCTCCCAGAGAAACATGGTTGGAAGCGGAGAACATCACTCACTAGGGCACGGCTCCAAAGCTGGAGCTCTGGCATCCTAGAATTCTGACACAGAAGCTCATGGGTGTCCCAGCACAAACTAAGGGCAAATTCTCCAGTCCTCTAAATTTATCCTACCCAGCACCCTGATGGATGGGATGATAGTCACCCATTTTGGTGAGGATAGTTCTGATTTTTCAGTCTGAAAATGAATGTGAATCCCTTCTGGATAGACCACCCCTCAGTCATCACAGGAATAACTGTTCTAGTTCCCCAAGCATCCCATGGTCCAGGGAGGTTAACATATAATATTAACCATCACTGGGCTTGGCAGACATTCAATAGAGGCTTGTCTTATCAGCAGAAAGACCCCAGAGCCCACTCTTTTCCCCAGAAAGATGTAGACTTTATTTGTCTATTCTAGATGTGCTCTTTGTCTTCTTCTACCCTAAGAGAGGCAGTGCAGTCTAGAAGGGGCACCAGGAGGTCCAGGTCAGAGAGATGAAGTGATAGCCACTGGGGCCTGCCTAATATGTTCATTATAGTCCTTTTTATTGAAAATAGATTCTAACCAGGTGGTGGTGGTGCACACCTTTAGTCCCAGCACTTGAGAAGCAGAGGCAGGCAGATCTCTTGAGTTTGAGGCTAACCTGGTCTACAGAGTTAGTTCTAGGACAGCCATGGCTACATAGAGAAACTCTGTCTTTGGGAATTAAAAAAAATAGGGCTGGCTCACCAACACCTGCACTGTTCTGCTGCTCTGGTGAGGTGCAGGGCCTGCTCTCCGGAGTGTTGCAGCTGGTGGGGGTCAGGGATGACTGCCACTCTGTGGTTAGGTTGGTGTCCACATTTCTCTTTTGGTAGCCTGTGTAGTACCTTCTTGTGCTTGAGAGACTGGAAGAATGGGGGGGGGGGGCGGTGAAGACTCCTTGTGGCATCAGCTCAACTACTCCATCTTCAATGTGTGGGTGTTGTCGTCCTAGGCAATGCAGAAAAAAGCCTTTTGTCTTAGCGACAGCCTGGGTTGTCTGGAGATTTCCACGGGATCCCATTGAACCAACATCTCCACTGAATGCAGCCCAATCCCACCACTGGCTACAAGAGATGACCAGTTGAGCCTCTGTATCCCCCATGTGTTGACAGAGGCTGCTTGTTCATTTCCTGGCCGCACAGACCTGAATAATCACACGGAAACTATATTAATTACAACACTGCTTGGCCTATTAGCTTAGGCTTCTTATTAAATAACTCTTACATCTTAAATTAACCCAGTTCTATTAATCTGTGTATCACCACAAGGCTGTGGCTTATGGGGTAAGGTTCTGGGTGTCTGTCTCCTTTGGCATCTCTCTGACTCCGCCTACTCTCTCTATATATCTCTGCTCAGGTTTCCTGCCTGGCTTTGCTTTGTTAAGCCATTGGCTGAAACAGCTTTATTCATCAACCAATAAAAGCAACACATATGCAGAAGGACTTCCCACATCACCCATGACTAGGAGACCTCATTAGGATCATCTTCATAGAGTCTAGGAAGTTTCCAGTTTACTAGGTTTCCACACCCCTCTAAAACATTCCCCAGTTCTAGCCTTCTGTCCCCACACTCCTTCCACCCCATCTCTCCCATGTAGTACTACTTGCAGATGGTATGATAGTATATGTGTAACCCTAAAAATTCCACCATGGAACTCCTACAGCTAATAAACACTTCCAGTAAAGTAACTAGATACAAGAATAACTAGAAAAAAAAATCAGTAACCCTCCTATATAAAATGACAAACTGAGAAACTCCATTTCTTTACAAAATTAAACATACAATCCAGCAACTATAGTCTGTTGATATTTATTCAAATAAATGAAAAACAC